AACTAATACTCCGTTCCGGTCACGAACGTGAACGGTGCGGTTGAAGAAGTTCACCGGGTGATCCTTGCTTCGCAGCCATAACATGCCCAAGATCATGTTGAATTTGGTGTCCAGAATGTCAAAGGACACCGCCTCACTTGCGTGAGGGGCAAAGTACACYGGGATGGCGTCAATGCACCGGTCGATGGACTTGTGCGTATGACCGTCTGCCAGGGTGACTTGCGTAGGCTGGGGCTTCCTCCGGACACGTGGGCCAAGGCCGACGCGTACCATGAAGTCCTGGCTGATGTAGTTGCGAGATGCTCCGCAATCGATCAAGGCACTACAGGTCGCCTCTCCGATCTGAATGCGTATGTATAGCAATGGTGCATCGATGTCGTCGTACCGTTGCGTCTTGAACTCGCKGTCGATCTTCGCGATGAAAACGTGAAGGTCGACAACCTCTGCTCCGGCGTCCATCAACGGAGCTGGTACTGCAGTGTGCAAGTAGTCCCGCAATTGTGCCATAAGCACGTTGCAATGCGGTTTCAACAATCGTCCGGTCGAGGGAACGGGCATCCACTGGAAGTCCGTGAACGTCAACGGATCGAGCTCATTAAGTCTTGACCATGACGTCGAATCCCCGACGATAGATTGCGGCGAAACTGCCGAATCGGTTGCCGATGGTGATGAAACCGTATATGCGGTGGACTGTTGCACGTGGAGCGGTTGGTCCAGCGGTGGAACCAAGTGGACAGCATAATCCTCACAAGTATACCGAGGACTTGCGACATTCGCATCCTCCCCAGATGTGCAGGAGGCCGCTAGCAAGGCGGCCGAATCTGGCGGAGTAGAAGGTGGAGTCGCCTCACCTTCCGCGGAGCTCAGTTTCCCGAGCTGAGGCGGGGTCGCACATCCTCCTTGCCCTGATCTTGGCACAGGGAGGTCTTGTGCTTGGTGCTATTGCACCAATAGCAGCTGCCATAGCGGCCGCGGACCTTGTACTCCGCCTCGGTCAAGCCAAACTTGACCCATGGGACTTGTACTGGCTGTCCATTTCCGGCCTGCGATGCGGATTTCGCCTTCCCATTGTTGCGGGACTTGTTGTTGCTTCGCGGCTGGACAGCAGCCACCTGATCTCCGTCACTTGATGCTGGAGTGGCTGCTGGGTTATCTCCACTGTCCTGCTGGACTGCAGCGAAGTGCTGCTGTCGCGGACCAGTTCGTGCCTTCTCCACATAGGTCGGCTGCCATGTTGATTTCTCGTGTGCAGCTGACCTGTTGGTCTTGATGATCTCCCTCGCTTTGTCAATGATCTCCGCGAAGGTTGAGTACTGCTCGCGATCACCAAGAGCCTGGCTCAATGCCGCACAGGACCTGTTGTAGAACTCACGGCGTAGATACTCGAATGATAGGTTCAGATTGGGCACAACCGCAATCTTCTGCCACTCCGTGAGCCAGTCCTGTGTTGCTGTGTTGCCCTGTGACATGGTGAACAAACGGTTGATGGCGAGTGCCGGCGCGTCGTCGACGATGAACCGCTTCTTCCACAGCCGTGTTAGTTCCTCCCATGTGATTACGTCCTTCAAGTCTGGTACGTCGACGCCGTGGGAGGTTGCCAGGTGGCTCAACCAGGTCTGGCATCCGCC